ATGTGTGAGGACCGTTGTATATTGTTAGTTCCCATATGTTGTTTTTCCTTTTCCTCTTCCTCTTCGATACGCGAACCATCCAATTGCATCCGTTTTCGTGTCGGGCACAGTAACATACATATTTTTCGGTCGTGAAGCAGTCGACTCTGGGCTGAACAGAATTACAGATATTGTAATTTTTGATAGCCATCATCGCTTCTTCTTTGCTTGAAAACTCCATGCCTAAAGATAACTCACCATTATTTATTGATGAGTAATATCCATAGTCACCGAGATGAGGCATATCCGCAAATTCTGGCCCGTACATTACACCATAATCAACTTCATACATGTGTGCAGGAGGGGCAGTTTGTGCCACATTTCCTGGAACTTCATCTACATCATCATCATCGGAGTTGAATTGCGATGATTCTGGGTGAATGAATAGTTCAGTCTCAGCACCATCCGTACTAGTCTCACGAAGCGGTTCTTCTGTTGGAGATGATGGTTCCTCCATGCTCTCCACATTTAGGTCGAAGAACCTACTACTTGCACGCCTTCCCCTTGAATTGGAAGGCATATCGACATTGAGATCGAAAAAGATCGTAGTCGAATGCCTCCCCCTGGAGCTTGAAGCCATCGTGTCAAATGGATAGTGCACAGATTGTTGCGTCGATGACATCTCCATATTAAGGTCAAAGGGATTTTCAGATGAATGTCTTCCCCTTGAATTGCACGCGATGTTGCCATACAGATTGTTCGTTGACCCACCTCGGTACATATTGTAAGGAGTTGCGGATGAATGTCTCCCCATTATGGCATTAAAATCATTACACATTACTGTCGTCGGGCTGTCAACTTGATCAACTTGTTCAGCCAGCCCATAGTGGGAGCTTAATGACTGATCCTGAGCAGCACGCACTTGAACAAATTTTTCATACATCTTAATATCGGCGTCTGAATAATTACTTTGAGATTCAACCATCACTTCAACATCATTATTGTTCGAAGTTCAAACGTTGTATAAGTTAATGGCAACAATGATGTTGAAAATCTGTACTGTAACGACGACATTCTTTTACTACTTCCAACATGAATCCTCCTCGAAATCTTTGTTATCAGCTTCTCAAGAGTTTTATTCATCTTAAATGATATTTTAACACGCTAATTTGATACGAAAACAACGCCAGTTTCATCTTCTCGAATTTCACCATCATAATAAACAATAGCTGAAAGTCACGTCATTCTTTGAGTTTAAAAGTGCGACAATATTATATCTGAAAAAAATAACTGAAACAAACCTGATTAAATGAATAATATATAAATGAAAATATAACACAATAAATTTTTTACACATAAACGTAAATAATTTAAATAATATAATTTTATTTTATTACCTGCACCGCAAAACTATTTCGACGTATGCTCCCACTTTCTAATTTTACAAACACAAAAATTAATTAAAAACAATTAGTATAATATTTTTTTCAAATAATCATAATAAATAATAAGTATAAAAAAATTATAACAAAATTACCTTATAATGAAAAATCGCACGAACTTCTAAATTAAATATGAGAAGATTGCCGGAATTATTGACTCATTGAGGGAATTGTTTTAATCTATAAGTTGAGAGGGGAGATGTGAAGAGTTTACCAGAGGAGAAGGGTATTTATAGCCGAGAAAAGTTGTTATAATTATACAAGACGTGGTACCTGCACCGCGCCTTATATAATTGTATCAGTTAAAACTAAGGAATGACCCATTCCCCGTGCTATATATAATTGAATTAAAGATCAGACGTGACCCCTACCCTGCGCTATTACCCTACGTGGTGTAAGGCGCGTCCCAGGGGCCTCGCTTTACACACGTGGCACCAGATCAATGTAAATCGCGCTGTAGGAGACGCGCCTAGATAAAAAAAAATCTGAAGGATGTTTGACAATAAAAATTAAATGAAAAATGTGATATATTACGAAAAACGCCTTTCCAGGTTTCCCGCCTCATCAAACAGTCCTCACATGTCAAATCTCTTCTTTTTACCCCATTTATCTAGAATTTTCCTTAATCTCCTCAAACGTGGATTCAGCACAGAGAGTTTGATAGAGATAAATGGGAGAGTTTGAGAGTTATTTGTCTTGCTCTAGTCTCTTGTGTCATGAAACCGATGAAGAAGCTGAAACAGAACCACAAGACGACGATGAAAGTCCTTACTCGAATGATAAGGACGATGAATATATTGAGAGTTTGTTTCAAACAGAAACTTCTACTAGTTCTACTGATTATCCGAATACCGATCGAGACAACTGGCTGCAACGTGCTCGCTCGAATGCCATCGAATGGATCTTCAACGTTTGTATCTTCCTATTTCTTCTTGATCTATTCTCTTGTTTCTTTTTTATGAAAAGTTTTTTTTACTTCATACAGACAAGAACACTCTTTGGGTTTCAAATCGATACGTCATATCTGTCTGGAACATACTTCGATCGATTTCTATGGAAGAAATCCATTGATGTAATTTTTCATATTTTATTGTTCCAGTAATTGTCTGGTGAAATATTTATTGCTTTTTGTTAGTAACAATGTATTCTTTGTGTTGCTTAGGATGGAAAATTGTGGGCTATCCGATTATTGTCGGTGGCATGTTTATCGATAGCAGCAAAGATGGAAGAGTGCAGAGTACCCGTTTTATCAGAATTTCCCACACAAGAATACCAGTTTGAAAATAGAACGATTCAAAGAATGGAGTTATTGGTACTTCTTTGGAATGGAAACTGAGTTCTGTAACGCCTCTTGCTTATTTATCTTACTTCATCCATAAATTTCATGGTGAATCTACCAGACCCAAAGAATTAGTCTCAAAAGCACTGCAGCACATTGTGGTTATAATAAAAGGTAATTCGAAAATCTAGCTCTGTATGTCATTTGGAACTCATCTTTGTATTCTTATGATTAAGGATTTTGATCTTTCCGATCCAAAAATCAACTCAGTCGAGCATCGATCATCGATTATCGCTGCAGCGGCTGTTTTGGCCGCTTCCTGTGATGAAAGATTAACAAGAAAAACAATGGAGCTCAAGACGGATTTCATTTCATTCTGGGGATCTACAGAAACTGTGAGCTATTTTCGTGTTATATTTTTCTCATTATTTGTTGATTAACTTGGAACTCTGAATGTTGTATTGGATATTTGATGCAGGAACATGTATTTTTCTGCTATAATATGATGCAGGAAATAGAGATAAGGAAACCCAAGACACCAAAATCTGTAATTTCCTATAATTTTTCTTCACTATGTGATGCTACTGAGAATTCTTCCACTGGCACCAAGCGAAAACTTACATTCAAAGAGTCTGATCAATGAAATTCTGTCGGCCATCTTTTTTATCGATGATAAGATTTTTTTTGTTGATTGCATTGTTTTGGTTGAAGAAGAGAAAGAAAAATTGATCCTTGGAAATAGATTTTGCTTATAGATTCTACACCAACTTTCAAGATATATATATATAACCAATATGAAAACTACACACATGTGAATCCTGATAGTTTGTCCCCATGATAGATGTAAGACCTGAAGTTACAAAAGTTATGTTCTAGGGTGAATTTGGGATATAGTTATGTTGTGCGGACAATTTAATTTAAAATAATTTTAACTTTAAATAACATCTTATTCAATTTAAAAATGTGTATATTTTATAATTTTTTTATTATAGTTAAAATAATTACATTACAATTAATTTAAGATTTAAAATCGAAAAAATTATAAAATTTATTAGAATTGAAAATATTGAAAATATAATAATTTTTTATTTTAATTTAAAATATTATATTAACAAACTTAAAAAATAGATTTAAAAAAATCATCACGATCGTTTTATATTAACATGACTCAGAGAACTGAAAGAGGCCATTTTAATTTGGCAGCAAATGGTAAAATGGGTGTCAAAAACTGTCATCGTAGATCATTGTATAGTCTCCGGTGATTACTCTATATGTCCGCGAATACTCTATATGATTGTTTCAACTTTCAACTCATATTGATGTTCAGTTTCTTCGCTCTTCTGCTTTCTCTTTTAGCCATCATTCTCAATGTATTCGAATGTTGTGGACTATTTGATTTTTTTAATCTTTTATACATTTGAAAGGTGTTTAAGAAAATGTAACACGTTTAAATAGTTGTCGACTACTATGGTTAGAAGCATTTCAATAAGACGTGTCGTTTTCTCTCACATTAAGTGCATTATACATCTTTTCCTTCTATAAAGCGTCGGGCTGAGCAATCGTCCTTTTAGTTCGCTGTTTTTGTCGCTTTGGATTTCAAGAGTTGTTAATTTCACCACAACACTTTTTATTGCTATCAATTGTAACATTTTTTTCATATCATAGATGGTTTATCCTTCATTCACTTGGACTGAGAGCCATACAATTAGAAAGCATCTTATTTTAAGATAATTCTGTTTATTGTATAAATATTTTTAATTTAAAACATTCTTGTAATGCATTTAACATTCATCTAAGAACGAAAAAAGTTTTAAAAGTATATTTTTTGTACATGTAGAATCTATAAAAAAAATAAAATTAACAATATATATATGTATAATTAGTAAATAATTTGAGATATATAAAAATTATAATTCTCAACACCTTTTAAAAAAAAGTTTATGAAAAATATTTTTAAAACTATTTGAGAATATTCTGAGTTTAAAAAAATACATTATTTAAAAAGAACAAATTAATACAACATTTTATAACAGTGTCATGGTTGAAATGATAATATATGTCCAAAATAATTATATGTATAATAATTTAGATACTGACACAAAAAATGATTAATGTATTTAATTATTAAGAAAAAGTATAATTTAGTGACTTGGCGTTTGAATTAAGCCTTTTAAAAAACACATGTAACTCACCAGTCACGAGGGTTGATTTTGATCAGTCTCAATCAAATCAAACGGTCAAGAAACACCGGCAGTTCCAAGAACGGTCACACCTGATAGTCACCCACTTGAAAATGTTTTTGCATTTTCATTTTCGTCTCCACCACTAATAAACCTTTCGTCTTTCGATTCGATTAGATTTCACCATTTTTTATTCTTCTCAATTTCTCAGATCTTTCCCGGTCTTTGTGCAAGCATGAGTAAGGGACCAGGACTCTTCGTCGATATCGGCAAGAAAGCCAAAGGTAATCGAATCCTCCATTTCCTTCCTTCTCCACCGTGCGATCTTTTCGATATTTTGATTACCTGTTTTCATTTCTCTCTGTTTTAAATGGTCAGATCTGTTGACCAAAGATTATACTTCGGATCAGAAGTTCACTGTTTCTACTTACACTGGCGCTGGAGTGGTACGCCAAACTCATCTCTTTCACACCTTGAATTTTGATTAATGTTTAAGTAGTAGCAAGGGTTGATAGCTTATTCTTAGATGACGATTTGCTAGGACTTGATACACAGAGGGATCTATGTTGCTGTAAAACTAGCGCTTTCGTATTTTTTTTTTTTTTGCAATTTTATGTATGTTTAATCCAATTGTTATATTTCAGACTATATTCATGTAAATTGTGCATTTGTGTAGAAAAGTTCTAACCAATAATTCAATGTAGATAGTACATTTGTAATGAATATTCTTGTTCTTTATCCTTTTTCATGTAAAAGAAATCTATCTTAGGGTGATTTCCCTGATTTACTCATGAATCAGCTTTATCTTTGAACTCAGAACATCATGATTATAATTTTTACTTTCTAATTTATTTACATTTAAACTTGTTCCAAAGTATTGTTGGATGAAGCTGTGTCTAACTTCAGATGAGATTGATTTCGTCTGAATAGGCGTGCCCTGTTATGCTTGTTTTAATTCAAACTGAATGCAATAGATAACCTAACAAAAGTTTTAGTTTCTACTTTTTTTCAATTTATTGTTTGGTGGTTTGTATTTTGATTTGTGTGCTGTGGTTAGTGAATCTTCATGTAGTTTTTAAGCTAGATCCTACAATTAAACTTCCCACAGGTCTTCATTGTTCTAATTTATTCTACTTTATGTCCTCTTATATTCAGGGTCTTACATCAACTGCTCTAAAGAAAGGAGGTCTTTCAACTGGGGATATTGCTGCATTATACAAGTACAAAAACACTCAATTTGATGTTAAAGTCGATACTGACTCTAATGTGGGTTCTTTTGGTTTTTACTTCCTTTCTTTTGAAAGTATTAAATAACATGTAGCCTAATCCGGCGGAGTTTCTTACATTCTTACATTATTTGTCCAGATCTCGACAACACTTACTTTCACTGAGATTCTTCCGTCCACCAAGACTATTGCGTCATTCAAAGTACCTGATTATAGCTCTGGCAAGGTATAAAGCTGCCCTTCTATGAAGAAATGATTTTCATCATGATGATTTTGATGTTTAGAGTTTCCAATTTTGCTATGTTGCAGTTGGAGGTTCAGTATTTCCATCATCATGCTACCTTTACAACAACAATTGGTTTGAACCAGACACCAGGTGTTGATGTCACTGCAACCATTGGGACACCCGCAATTGCTTTTGGAGCAGAGGCAGGCTATGATAACACCTCTGGCAAATTTACAAAGTACACTGCTGGTATTAGTGTGACAAAACCAGATTCGTGTGCTTCGATAATTCTGTAAGCTTTTGTACACTTCCATATTTACTCCACTAGATTTCAGAAGTGAATTTAATCGAGAATTGTCTAATCTTAGTCCCCGACTTTCAGGGGAGACAAGGGAGACAGTATTAAAGCATCATATGTGCATTATCTGGATCAGCAAAAGAAGAGTGCCGCTGTGGGTGAGATCAGCCGAAGGTTTTCCACAAATGATAACACATTTACTGTTGGAGGGGCATATGCTGTCGATCATCTCACACTGATTAAAGCTAAGCTCAACAATCATGGGAGGCTTGGAGCACTGCTGCAGCATGAAGTTGTATCGAAGTCATTGTTGACAATCTCTGGTGAGCTCGTCACAAAGGCCTTGGAAAAAAGTCCCCGATTCGGATTGGCAATTGCTCTTAAACCCTAATGAGATTTTTTTTGGCTATTCAATGATGCTTTTGGGATTTCATACTCCTGGGGTGGCAATAAATGGTTCACAGATGATTATTCATTTCTAGTGCTCAGTAGCTGTGAATGGATGATTGATGGTACTTTAGGCTGTCCATGATTCAATATTGTAAGTTTTGAGCTATTTTTACCATGGTTACATTAATGCCTCGTTTCGTTGAGGCGTTTTTCTTAATTGTTCGAAAAAAAGGATTTTTTTTTCGTTTGGTGTTTGAGTAACCACAAAAGTTTGTTTATTCCAGTCGCCTTATTTTAAGTTATGCGTGATGAAAAGGAGTAAGGCATGCAGGTTGAATGTATGGCGTGTCATATCATTTGAATGTAAGAAGATATAATTTTTTAAATTAATAATATTTTCTGAAGAACTAATTAAGTATATATAGATTTTATCTTATTCTTGATTATAATAAAATATTCAAACAATAAATCTGAAGTGCAAGAAATCTTGATTGGAAATGCCCTTTTCTCTAAAACATTACAAACCGTGCGATGTATAATGCAAAGGTAAAATCTATTCGAAGTAAAAACGAATGAATAAGGTTATATATCACACTAAAATTGTTTTATGCAACATTTGACTATTTGATTTGATCAGCTGGGTGGGGGCAACATTACAAAACCAAACGTCTTGCTTAATTTATTGGTAATAGATCTTAAAAATGGTTGTAGAAAATCTATGATTTGATTCTTTGCCCAAATAATAAAATAATTCACTGAAAATCAGGTGCAATAAGCCAATAGCTAAAAGCATATAGGTCTATTCTCAATGTTTAGGTTTTGGAACCAAATGGATCATCCTATTTTTGGTTAAACCTACCACTTTTTATATATAGTTGGTGCAATGATTTACTAGATTTTCTACCTTTTTTATTAACAATTCGTGCATATGTCAATTTTTAAATATTCACTGCACAACCTAAAAATGATGCTTATTATAATCAAATTTACTGATAAAAAAGAGTAAAATTTCCAAAAAGATGACAAACGGGCAGGTCGGGTGTGAATACCCCTCCCACATCCTCATACACACTTAATATTTTTTAATCCACCACCCGCCCACTACCTATGATGGGTAAAAAATTTCAAATCTACACCCGCCCACGTGGGTACATTCTCAAATCCATCCCCACACCCACTACCAAACTAGAGACGTACCCGATTAGACCCGCCTGATAGTTAGGGGTGTGCAAAAAAATCCGATCCGACCGATCCGTTGACTCGTTGATCCAATCCAAAAATTCGGATATCTGATCCGTTTTTCAATTTTCGGATAGTTCGGATTAGGTATCCGAAAATTATAAGTTATATCTTATAAAATATTGAGATTTATAAATTAGTCTATAAAATTATACATAAATTCATAATGGTCCAAAATTTAATGTATATTTAGTGGGCGGGAGGATGTAGGGCGGGCGGATACGGGGCGGTCAGATGCGGGGCGAGTAAAGTCTCAAACCCATCACCCGCCCACTATCCACTAAATTTATACCCATCACCGCCCCAATTAAATCGGGTACGGTGCATAATCCATGAAATTGTACCCGTTTGTCATCCCAGCTGAGAATGGTATGATTCCGAAACATTTTGATTTGAAGAAGAAGAGGGGAATTAAAAGCTAGCATTAATGAGTCATCACATGCAGCCATTAATATGCCTACCGGCATAAGAATTTCCCACCCCAATCCCAAAAACCCTACTCACCATCAAATTAAAATCGCACCCAAAACTACTACTCTGAAACCCAAAAAGAAAATAAAAGAAAATTCTTCAAAAAAATGAAGCCCTGGAGAACTTTAGGAGTTGTAGAAACCATTTATGAAGAAGAAGCTTATGATGATAACCATGACGATGATGATGATAACTCTCCTTCACTCGTCTCAACTCCTCCTTCACCACCCCATTCAAGAGTAGAAGCTTGGTATTATTTTCACTTCAAGTATGTTTTTATTTGAGTTATTGCATTTTGTCCTGAATTTTGATCTTATTTTATTTCTGGGTATTCTACATTGAAAGGTCATCCGCAATGGGGTGTAAAACTGACGTATTGATACATGTACAGGGAACTGTTTTTCATCTTCATAAGGTATGTTTTTTTTTTTAAAAAAAGGGGAATTTTCTAATATATTTATGTACTAGTTGATTGATTTGATCTGCATTGGTGACCTGAGTTTCATCGAAAATGTGTTTTTTCCTTCTTTGGGTTTAACGATTACTAGAAACCTTTTTATTTATTTGAAGAACATTTCACCATTTCCTATTTGAAGAATATAAACATTTTGAATTAAAACCAGATGTAAGGAAAATAGCAATATTCTTGTATCTCTAATGATTTATTTTTCCAGATTTTGTAACAATAAGAAATCTTCCATGAATGATGATGAAGTAAAAGCATAGTCATTTTCGTATTAATTCCAAACGTACAACGTTAAAGGGGTATACCATACAATTTAGTGTTTAATGTTACGTTACCAAACCCCAACAAATTTTATTTAAGCTACTGAACAAAATAAATAAATTGCGTTCGGGCAATTATATTATTAATGAATAATTTCCAGTTGACTTTTTTTTTTATTAATCCGGTTAACTGTTTTTGTTTTTCGTCATAGGATCCTCTGTCGTACAGGAGCACCTATTTAAGGCGGAAATTAACCCAACAATCTGAATTCACGTTATCCCCGCCGTTAAACATAACCGTCGAAACCTTCTCTCTCGTTGTCGATTTTTGTTACGGGGCTCATCTCCTCGTAACGCCGTTCAACGTCGCGTCCCTCCTGGTAGCAGCGGAACTCCTCGGGATGACGGAGACCAAAGGCGACGGCGACAGTAACTTGAAGCAGATGACCGAGAATTACTTCCATCGATTCATCGCCGTCAACGGAGAGTACGCGGCGATTGTTTTCAGGTCTTGCCTGACGTTGCTCCCGGAAGCGGAAACAACGTCGTTTCTCGTTAGTAGATGCGTAGAGGCTATGGATTTAGCGGAGGATGGGAACGGCTTGGACGGTTATTTTGACGATGTTATTTCTTTGCGCGCCGAGGATTTCAGAATCGTTACCGAGTCTATACACCAACGATTTGAGTACCACGATTTACTTTATAAAATCGTTGATTTCTATCTCGAGGTAAGGACACTACTACTGGTTTTAATTTGGTCAAATCAAAGTTTTTCCTTAAATAATAACATGATTAGTCTAATATTAATATATTAGTATTGATTTATACTAATATAGAAACTTGGATTAATTAATTTGATCTCATGAATTAGGTGATTATATATATATATATATATATATATATATATATATATATATATATATAAATTATATATATATAATAAATATATTTGAAAAATATTATATTTTCCCATTTAATTGTTTTATCATGTATATCAGTATTTATGAGAGTGCTTTCACAAATAGAGAAAAATTATGTATGAACTTCTTTAGTAGGTGCATTTAGAAACTTACGTGTAGTGTGTGGTCCATTTAATATTTAAGATTGTGTAGGTATGACCATCCTATTACTTTTAGTAATACTTAGATTTTGATTAATTTGAATATTCAATTTTCCCTATCAATTTTAAATTCAAAATTATAGATTTATTAGTATTGTATTAGGTATTTTGTACTTATCATATTGAAATTCAAGTTTTCTACTAAAATTATAATCTTTGTTGTTTAGTTTACCTGTTTTTAATAATTAAGTTTGTATATCAAATAAATATATCTGATTGCGCCTTAAAAGCTATGTGAATCATGGATCAAACAAATACTTATATGAAAAATTACTATCAAATGAGTCATTATTTTAAAAAATTATGGATCATTTGAACCCTTATTTGAAGAAAAAGAAGCATTATCAAATATTTGTTAAATTTTTCAACATTTAAGGATTTATTTGAGCATGATTTTTCAAACAATGACTTGTATGAATCAAATTTAGGACTCCTTGATTTTTTTGTTACAATTAGAAAAACCTATTTTGATACATATTAGTTCATATGGATTTGCAATGGTTAAAGTTGATTATAGTAATACTAAAATTTGTTTGAGCAGGAGCATAATGAGAAGACAAGCGAGGAACAGAAGACGCAGATATGTAATTCCATTGACTGCAACAAGCTCTCGCCTCAACTCCTCTTACATGCAGTGCAGAACCCTCGAATGCCTTTGCGTTTCGTTGTCCGAGCCATGTTGGTCGAACAACTCAATACTCGCCGCACCATTTTCTCAGCCGCCGATCACCATTTATCGCGTAGCCATCGCCCTAGAACAAGCAACAACGACGATGATGACAACATCACCCTCGGTGAAATCCTCGAACGCGATGCCACCAAGAGGGAAACGGCTCAACTGAAGGCAGCAATGGACGCCACGAGTTCTCGGATCCAAACCCTGGAAAAGCAGTTACTTTGCATGAAAAAGATATTGCAAGAATCTGATGAGAATGTTATTGAAGGAACCGGTGGTGGGTCTAGAGATGTGTTGGAATCGGGCCGGTCAGCTAGTTTCCATTACGATTCAGGGAATAAGATTGAAAGAGCATATCTTGGAGCTCCTTCCTCAGCCAGTTTCCGGTTCAGTGATGGTCCGAAAGAAAGGGCTCTGGGATCTTCCACCCCGGAGAATTCAGCCATTGCCAGTCCCAGAATCAAGAGAAATATAGGGCAGAGATTGATTAAAGGGATAAAAAGCGCATTGCGGGTATCAAATTCTGCAACAAAAAATGGCATTAATAACAAGAAAAGTTCAGAAAATGGTAAGGTTAAAGCTGAAGCAGAAAATGGAATAGTGCATTCCAGTTGAGGATGATCTATCCTTTGAACAGAAGAGAACTAACTAGGATATTGACTTCCATTTTTATAGTCTTAAAAGCAGCAGCATATTTCTCACCATACCATCAACCATATTCATATTGAGTAGTGGAATAGTCCATTTTATTTAAAGAATTAAAACATTCATCCTTAACCTCAACGTGAAAGATCTCAATAATAACATATTTATTACATCCTTTATTTTTAGATACAACTATTATTTTCGTAAGTTTTTCAAGATTTAACCATAATTTTTTAATTAAAAAAACCATTAATTTTTTTAGCTCAAAAGTTTCAAATTTTGAAATTGTCAAGGGTATCCCTAGATATAAAGTGAAGGCTACTCCCCCCCCGGCTCCCAAATGCCACTTTGTTTCCAATTTTGAAGGGTCACCTGTACCTCGTGAAGACTTTCACTGTTGTGTTTGGTATAGAGAAAGGACCAATTTTCATATAGTTTGGGTAAAGTTTACCAATGATAATTAAAGTATATTAAAAAATGATATTTTTAATCATTAAAATAAATATTAAAACTTTGATTTTGTTATAAAATAAAATTTGTGTTCGTTATTAAGAGAATAACATGACATATTAAATTAATGGGTAATATCATATTTGACGCTTCAATTATTATTATAATTTTATATTTATATTTTTTAATATTTTTAAGCAATATTAAAAAATTTAAGATTATTTTTTTAAAAAAATCATAATTTAATTTTAAAAATAAAAAAATATCTTAACATTATAATCTTAATTTTTTTTACAAAATATAAAATTTTAATGAAATCCTTCATATTTTCTTTTACTTATACTCTCACCCACACTCTAAACCTATAATAAAATTTAATGATCATATTTTTATAATCATAACAAATATATTTTTGTCTTATTTAAATTTTTTACGAAATCTGTGGTAATTTTAAAATACATATTCTGTAATCTTATAATTATATGTAAAAATTTAATATATCGAATCGAGTAATAATTTTGGATAATCAATCATAAATATATATTAACAAATTTAATATATCCTCCTAAGGCTAAAATAGTTATGTGGAATAGCGTATTAAAGCTGACAAATGTCATAATAAAATTGTGCATGTTGATCAACATGCTAAATCTTCTAAAAAATCTAATATAACTAGAAATTTATCAACAACGTTAACGATTTATTAATTAAAATTATTATAATTATCCTTTTCAAATATTATACAAATAATTGTTTTTGATAAATTATAAATCTAATCCTAATCTTACTTAGAGAGAAGAAGAGGAAATACTCTAGGGGAAGAAAGAGAGTGCTTTAAGTGGATCTAGTGCTTATAACCTAAAGGAAGTATGAGAGAATAAATATGAGTAGCTTAACCAACATGTCAAATATAAACAAATAAAATGACAATCCATATATATTGTTCTACGTATCAATATTATCCTTTCATTACGCTGAATATACATAATTAAAACAATCCAAATTAATTCTCAGGTTTTTTCCCCAACTTGTTAATAAATCACAATGACATTTCTGCTTGATTATTTCAACAAGTGAAATTATTTCAGAAAAGAGTAATAGCTTAGAAGTATGCAGGCAAAACCCTAAATCCTTAAACACTAAAATATAACAGAAAATCACTTCCAATTGCTTAGGGACTTGAGAAACTCATGGTTGTTGGTCTTCGAATGCTCAGCTACTGTGATTCAGCGAAAACGGTGGCAAGAATTTCAGCGACTCTTTTGTGGTGGCCGACAGGTCCTCGGGAAGCACGAGGTCAAGGTGGTTACAGATTGGATTCGAAACTGATACGTACAACATTTCGGCCGTGGAGATTTTATCACCGTCGATGGCGGTCGCTAAACATTTCGGAACTACCACCACCAAGTTCCTTCCTGGTGCGGAGTAGCCAACTTTCTTGTAATTCTTTCATTAATGTTGCTCCATCCTCTTCTTCTCACCTTTCCATAAAAATACAAGAATTATACAAATTACAAAAGATCAAATTCAATGTCAAACACAGTTATCATCTGAAATAATCTATTCAATTCAATAGCCAACGAACTAATTCAAGTACATGATAATCAATGATTAAATTTGTTGTTATTTTTGTGATGCTTTTTAATTAACTCAATTGTTACTTCCAGCACTGGTGCAAACCTTAGAATCAATCAAACAACTCTCAATCCGATTCCAGCTCTTGTTATCAAGTAGTTCTGCAACCAATGCGAGAAATCCATAGTTCTACGTTCCTTATCTGAAAACATATCACATGTAATTCTTACTTGTAATTTTCTCTTTCACGCGCACATATCACATTTGATCAAGTATATGCTATAGAATATATTTTCCTGGAAAGTTTAGAAAGGCTCCCTAATTTAAGGTTGAGAAATAATGAAAATAAACGTAATCTAAAATATTATATTTTTATAATATTTTCTATTGGTTCGTAACAATTTAATTTGTAAAAAATATTACGAAAATAAGTAATATTTAAGTTATATTTATTCATATCGTTTCCCGTTGCACAGCAGAATTCCACGTGAAAAGGATAAATAGATGTTAATAATTTATCCCTGCGTCGAGATTTTGGAGTCTGTACAATCATGACCGTGACCTGGGATTCTGGATCTCGTCCCGTCTGCATTGTCCACCTGTCCACCACTCTCTGTCTTCAAAATAAGAAATGTGAGAATTACACGAGGAATCAATATCCAATGTAATGAAATAAAACAAAGGGTAGAATATTTATTTGATTACCTAATTAATATTTTTTCATAATCATATTTTATATTATATTTTAATTTTATTTTAATCACTTATCATTAAAAATAATAATGATACTGATATATTATTAAAAGATAATGTACAGTCAGTTTTGACATAAAAAATATTATTTTAACATTACCGTTAATTTTTAACAATAGATGACAAAATCAAAATAAAAATGTAATATTAGTATGATTGCAAAAAAATTGATTGGGTGATCAAAACAAAAATTATATAATAGATAAGTTACCCAATAAATAAGAAAATAGAATCCAACCATTCCCATATCCCTTTCTCATTTTATAAGTCAGGAAATCGAAGTGTTTTTGGAATTTTAATCACGTCTTTGCCGTTAACTCCTCCTGTTTGGCTGTTTCAACTCACAACCATTGTTTTTTTTATTAAAAAAGTTATAATCAAGATGGTTGTACTCTATGTTGCACAGGGAAGGACGTTTCAAGTACCCGAAATGTCTTTGGCACGGGGACGGTACGGGGACGGCCGGGATACGTACCGGGGACGTCCTACGGTGACAGGGTACGGCCGAACGATGCGGGAGACGTTTTGGTGCTTGCTGGGGACGTTTCGGGGACGGCATGTGACTAGCACATGCGTCCCCGTGTGCACCTTGTCTTCTACTCTTTTCCACCACTACGAAAATCTTCGGCGGCCGTCATCCTGAACCCTCAAATTCAAAGAAAAGAAAGATAATAAGTACTAAAAAGACTAGGGAAAAAAAAGAACTGAAACTGAAACTGAAAAAGACGAGGGGAAAAAAGAATTGAAAATCTGAAATATGAAAGATCAAAACACTCAAGAAATATGAAAAAAGAGAGTGAGAGAGGTGGACAGATCATGAAGGCCACTCCTGCACTAGCTTCCAACACGATTACAAGACCGACTTTTCAATTATAAAAATTTCTTATCTTTAAGGGCGATAATTTCGAGGAATATTGTATTAATTTTTAATAAACTATATAAATGAACACTTATTTATTAATAATTTTAGGGTAAATTATATAAATAGTCCCTAAACTTTTAGGATACTTACATTTTGATCACTTAACTTTTGAAACTTGTAATACAATCATCGAACTTTTAGTTCGTTTTCAACAAGGACTTTAAAATTCTCAAATGTTAGTATTTTTAAATATATTTAAATTAGGGTGTTACACCAATTTTATAATTTTAAAAAGAGAAAATCGCCTCAGTGACCAAAAATACCTTATAATATACGATTTTAACCAATTTTTTTTGGATTTGCCAAAATGACCAATAAAATCGCAACGCGATATCAAAATCGCAACGCGATTTAGAAAATCGCAACGTTAAAAAGAAAATCGCAACGGTCAAAAGAAAATCGCAACGCGAGCTTCCAAGTTCGCAACGCGATTTAGAAGAAAATCGCAATGCGATTGATAGAATCGCAATGCGATTTATAGAATCGCAATGCGATTGAGAGAGTCGCAACGCGATTTAGAATAAAATCGCAATGCGACTGAGAGAATCGTAATGCGACTGAGAGAATCGCAATGCGACTGAGAGAATCGCAATGCGACTGAGAGAATCGCAATGCGATTTATAGAATCGCAACGCGATTTAGAAAATCGCAACGTTCGCAACGGTCAAAAGAATAGTTAAAAAAATTTTGTTTCTTAAGAATTTTCTCTAAAAAGATAGTATCCGCGCGGACGTGTCGAAGACACGTATTACCACGACCATTACCACGACCACGACTACGACCACGACCCGACCCGAGACGAGACGGCGGCGCGCGAGAGTCCCCCTTGTCCTCTTTCACTCAACAAGGAAGTGCAAAATACAAGCCTTAAATACCATTCCCAATAGTATTTCCAATACTATGTGGGATTGAGCATTACCAACACTTGTTCCAAATATCATTATTCTTCATAAGTTATCATCCATTACAATATGAATTAGTCGTGTTAATGAACCAATATACCTCATTAATATATGGTATTGTTGAACAAAAGAATGATGATGATGATCTTATTAAAGACCATCTAATACGAAAGAATCCAATGCATAACTGATACCTTATTGTGAAACTAATTCACATAGAGGTTGTACGTGAAAAAAAAATCTTTTACTTTTATAGTAAATATCTATCTCAATAATTTTAATATAAAAATATATTTTTTATTTAATAATAGAATTATTTCATGTATTTATCAAGTTATAATTTTAAATACTTATTAAAATGAATTAAT